TGGGTGTGGCTTAGGTCTGCAGCTCTGAGTCTGTGCTGAACTAGTCTAAACTAGTCTGCTGCTCAAAATTGAAACTCCTCTCCTCTGCTTGTGTTTTGCTTGTATTTTACTACCACTTTGGAAAACCTGCTTTTGGTATTGTATATTTACTTCATGTGTTATGTTATATATAAAGAGAAATTATTGAATCCTGCTGAATCAGTTACTTGTGTGTGCTTTCTGGATGTGATTGCTGCTGCAAACTCTGACATGTCCTTGCAGCAAATAGCGAACAGTCAGGTCAGCTTCAGCACATTATTGCAGCCTGATTCAGCACGAGCAGCTGATGGGCGGGTGGATCGGCCTCCCGGAATACCCCCAATCAGCTGTTCCAGGCTGCAGGGATTGCCACAGTCCATCACCGCCTCTGTGCCTCGTGTTTTTGGCTACATTCGGTGTATAAGAGGCACCCAAATTTTCACCCTCTTTTTTGGGGGCGAAGTATGTCTTATACTCCAAAAAATACAGTACCTCTTCCCGTTGGACATGCTAGTTGGGTCTGATGCAAAAAGCTCAACAGCATGATGAGGTCACCATCTCTTAAATTCTCCACGCTCTTCAGTCTTCCAGCAACTTCCCAGAGTCTAAAGCTTGATTCTCTACAACAGAGTCTCCAAAACTTGCCAACTTTAAGACCTGAGGACTTTAACTCCCAGAATTCCCCAGTCAGCCATGTTGTCTAGTGAATTCTGGGACTTGAAGTTCATTGGTCCTAAAGTTGCCGAAGTTGGACAGTCCTCATCAAGATGATCACTAGGAGTAAAAAAACAAACAACCCCAACTTGATGGCACATAATCCGGTCAATCAATTGTGAATTTCTGGATTTGAAGTGAGGTTGCAGCTACGTGATTTTGCTCGCTCACTTCAACAAAGGCTGGAGAAGGAGAGAAGGAACTAGTGAGGTCAACTCAATCACATCTTTTGCACTTTAAATAGCTTTTAATAATACTGGGAAGCCTCTGGAAATTGCTTTCTGCCTGCAATCCCATTGTCCCCGCAGTTGTTTTATTTGCTTTTTTTAATATCGTATTCTGGTTTTCCATCACACACACGTTCCTTTGCATCCGTTCAGAGAAAGGAAGATATAAGCCACAGGGATCAGAGAAGGCAGAGGAAGAAGACACTACTAAGTACCCCGTTTCCCTGAAAATAAGACCTATCCCAAAAATAAGACCTAGCATATTTTTTTTATATGTGCACCTAATATAAGCCCTGCCCCCCAAATAAGCCCTAAACGTAAAGGTTCCCCTTGCACATATGTGCTAGTTGTTCCCGACTCTAGGGGGCGGTGCTCATCTCCGTTTCAAAGCCGAAGAGTCAGCGCTGTCCGAAGACGTCTCTGTGGTCATGTGGCCGGCATGACTAAATGCCAAAGGCGCACAGAACGCTGTTATCTTCCCACCAAAGGTGGTCCCTATTTTTCTACTTGCATTTTTTTTTTTTTAATTTGATTTATATGCCGCCCTTCTCCGGAGACTCAGGGCAGCTTACAATGCATTAAGCAATAGCCTTCATTCTTTTTGTATATTTTATACAAAGTCAGCTTATTGCCCCCACAAACTGGATCCTCATTTCACCTACCTTTGAAAGGATGGAAGGCTGAGTCAACCTTGAGCCTTGGAGAGAGTCGAACCAGCAGAAATTGCAGGCAGCTGTGTTAATAACAGGGTGCACTAAACCACTGTACTATCAAGGCTCTATTTTTTACGTGCTTTCGAACTGCTAGGTTGCCAGAAGCTGGGACAAGTAATGGGAGCTCACCCCGTTGCACGGCACTAGGGATTCGAACTGCTGAACTGCTGACCTTTTGATTGACAAGCTCAGCGTCTTAGCCGCTGAGCCACCGCGTCCCATAAATAAGCCCTATTTAAATATAGTTAATTAAGTAAGTAAGTAAGTACGTAAGTAGGGCATAAATAAGAGGAGAACGCTGTAATTCCTCTCAGCCAAGGCTTCTGGTAGCCAACTGTTTATGATGTTACTTTCCCCACGTTCTTTTGCAATTATATTTGTATTTTGGTCTATGACCGCAAATAAAAGTTATTATTATTATTAAGCCCTACTTAAGCATTTGTGCAGCCAGCCGGCCGCCCATTCCGTCTGGTTGTTTGTGGTGCCACTGCTGAGAGGCAGGGGACGGTGGACGCTGCCCCACGTTCCCCTGCACCAGCTTAGCTCAGAGCTTCGGCAGTCAGGCCATCCACACCTTGACACCTGCCTCATGGCGGCAGCACCAGCGGCCATGTGCAGAACCCCATGTGGCCACCAGCTCACTTCTTCTGTTTGCTCATGGCCGCAAAGGAGCAGGAGGCCGAGTTGTGTGCTAATGCTGCGACCGCAAGGCAGGTGTCGGAGTATGGAAGGCCTGGCTGCGGGGCCCTGAGGTAAACCAGTGCAGGCCATGTGAGGCAGCTCCAACCTCCCGCCTCACGGCGTCAACACTAGTACATCGCGCGGCCTGCCCCTCCGTGAGCAAGCAGAAGGCTCCCGGTGGTCTTCCGGGTGCGCTTCAAGGTGTTGGTGACCACCTTTAAAGCATTCCATGGCTTAGGGCCGGGGTACTTACGAGACCGCCTTCTGCCACCAATAGCCTCCCACCGGCCAGTACGCTCGCACAGAGTGGGCCTCCTCAGGGTGCCGTCCGCCAGACAATGTCGGCTGGCGACCCCCAGGGGGAGAGCCTTCTCTGTGACGGCGCCCACCCTCTGGAACAACCTCCCCCCAGAGATACGTATAATAACAGACCTCCGGATTTTTCATCGGGCCCTGAAAACCCATTTATTTCAACTAGCTGGGCTGGCTTGAGTTAAATTTTAAATTGATTTTAAATTGGGTTGTTTTAATTTACGGCCAAAATATTTAATTATTTTAATACTGTTTTTTAAATTTTGTATGCTCTGTTTTTACTTAGGCTGTGCACCGCCCTGAGTCCTATTTGGAGAAGGGCGGTATAGAAATTTAATTAATAAAATAATAATAATAATAATAAGTGGGCCTCCCGTACATGGCGAAAAAATAAGACACCCACCCAAAAATAAACCCTAGTGCTTATTTTGGGCCTCAAAAAAGGAAAATAAGACCCTGTCTTATTTTTGGAGAAACACGGGTATTGGCTGCACGCATGGCGTTCTGACCACTTCACTGGTGATTGACTAGAAGTCCTAAATTGATAATAAAAAAGAATAAATGACAAGTAGTCCTTGACTTACGACCACAATTGAGTCCAACCTTTTTGTTGCTAAGTGAGACATTTGTTAAGTGCGTTTTTGCCCCGTTTTATGACTTTTCTTGCCACAGTTGTTAAGCCAATCACTGCAGCGGTTAAGTTAGTTACAAGTCTGTTAAGTAAATCTGGCTTCCCCCCCTTGACTTTGCTTGTCCGAAAGTCACAAAAAGAGATCACATGACTCCAGGACACTGCAACCGTCATAAACATGAGCCAGTTGCCAAGTTTCCTGAATTCTGATCAGGTGACCATGGGAGGCTATAACGGTCTTAAGTGTGAAATCGGTTTTAAGTCATTTTCAGTGACATTGTCGCTTTGAACAGTCACTAAACGAACTGTTGTAAGTCGAGGACTACTTGAGGGTCAATGTGATGGGTGAAGGGCCGAGAGCAACGGGTGTGGGGGGTATTGAAATCTGCCATCAATCTAGTAGCTCCCAGAGTGTGGAATGCCCCATTTGGACCCCAGCCCACCGCAGAGCCAGATCTTCAGGCTCTTACAGAAGGACTGGAGGTTGGAGGACAGATCTTACCTTAGAGGTTAGATGTTCCAGACCAGAGGGTGGTTCTGCAGCAGAGAAGACTCTTCTTCTGGATCCTGATAGTCGGATCTGATAATCAGGAGTCCTTTGACTGACGGGATCCAAAGTAGGCCCTCTCTGTAAGGTGGTAAATATCTAATACCTATCTAATAGGGGGCAACGTGTGGCTCAGTGGCTCCCCGGTTAGTGGCTCCCCGGTTAAGATGCTGGGCTGGTCAGCTGGAATCCCAGGTTCGAGACCCAAGTGCCATGCGATAGGGTGAGTTCCTGTCCTCGCTCCAGCTCCTGCTAACCTAGCCGTTCGAAAGCATGCAAATGCAAGTAGATAAATAGGTACCACTTCACTGGGAAGCTAAGAGCACTCCATGATGTCACGCTGGCCACAGAAATATCTTCAGACGGCACTAGCTTAATGGCCGGTTCGAGACTAGAGTACCATGTGACAGGGTGAGTTCCTGTCCTCGCTCCAGCTCCTGCTAACCTAGCCGTTCGAAAGCATGCGAATGCAAGTAGATAAATAGGTACCACTTCACTGGGAAGTTTATAATAGAGCTCCATGTTGTCATGCTGGCCACAGAAATATCTTTGGACAGCACTGGCTCAATGACCTTGAAACAGAGATCAGCACCTTGCCCTTTAGTTGAAGAGTAGCGGAGCAAAACCTGCAGGGACTCAGTCCTATCTAACAGGTGCCATGAGACTCAAGTCAAGAACTACTGACCGTGAATTGACTCGTGGTGCTGCTACTGTGGACTGCAACCATTTCTGTCCCGTTCTGCTAAGCAGCCTTGAATAAGGAAGAAACCGAGATGTCTAGGTACACGGGTAATTTTTTTTCCGAGAGAGAAAAAAAACATCCTCCAGGTTCTGCCGGTTATTATGAATTTAACTGTTGGAGTCTCTATGCCTATTATATTATTTAAACTTTTGCTTCAAAGCAGTAACCTAGATAACTTTGATCTGGTTTCAAGACACAATGAGGGTGACAGGTTATAATATCTCCTTAGGGGGGAAAAAAAGTAAAAAAAAAGATTCAGTCGACTTTGCATTTAGGTTTTCTTTTGACAAGACATTTGGAGACTGGCACAGAATACACAATCGTGATTTTTAGCATGTTAAGAGCACAGGTCAGAAAGCAAATAGCAGGAAGACACGAGTTTTTTAGGGGAAAAAAAAAGCGAACAAAGATGACATAAGAAAAATAGCATATATATATTTTATGTATAAAAATCTACAATACTTAATAATCTCCATACATATCTTCGCAGCTGCCACCGTTCTGCTGCTAGCATCCAGTAAATTGTACAGCTTCAATTTCATTATTGTTATTACAAATCACAAAGCCCAAGTTTAAACTTTGAGATTATGACATAATCGCACGGTTATTATATACATACGTTTTCTAGACTGCAGGAAATGAAACTTGAAAAGTAAAAAGACAAAAAGTAGTATTTGTCAGTTTAAAACAGGGTTAGGAAACGTGGGGTCCTTGAAGGTATGGACTCCAAGTCCCATCATTCCTTCCCCATTGGCTACAGTGGTTAGAGCTGATGGGACCTGGAGTCCAATATCCTTTAGAGGAACACACGTCGCCTCTTCCTTTAAGAACCTTTGCTAGAATGCAAAGCCGCATGCAGTGGGGTTTTTTAAAAATATATATATATATATATAAAAAGGTGAATTCTCAAAGTAATTTTAAAGATTGCAACTGATGTCCATCATGTAAGCTAAATGTTATTTCATCTTTTTTTGTATATATAAAAAAGAAAGACCATACTATCACAATAATGCCATTCTGCAGCAAACGCAGGCACTGAAGCAGAGTTGTGTTTAAGGCAGGTCTGTCCAACTCGTAACTCAGAAAGCTCAGATAGACAGACCACAGACCAGGTTTCGTGGTTTACAGTGTGGAAGGGATCGACAAAGCTGTCAGTGGGGTTGCCTCTGTGTGTGTGTGTGTGTGTGTGTGTGTGTGTGTGTGTGTATGTGTGGCTCAGGCTCAGTGTGTGGTGGGTCACAAACGTTACAGACCCGATGTAGTGTAGAGGGAGAGCAATGCAGTTTGACCACGGTTTTCCGTTTTTGTGCAATCAAGACAAAATCTTAAGCATTTCAACAGTTTTGCTCAGCATCTTTATCCTCGAGTGGGCCGGGGTACAACCTGGAGGATGGCTGTGTGTGAATGTGCGCATACACACATACATGTTGCATTTTAGTGGACCTTGCAATCCTGCTGTGAAGAGTTGGAAGACGCTGAATGACATTTTTGTGTGTTTCCTAGGGTTAATGTTGGATCTTTCGGGGGTGGGGGTGGGGCTCTTGTCCTTTGTGGTTATGTCACTGCAAATTTTAAGGAGAAAGGAAAATACAATGGTCAGGTTGGACCTAAGGCGTTGTTGAATCAACCACAGTGGTGGGGTTTGCGCATTGGATTGAGCTGCAAACACTTGTCTTACTGAAGCACAGAAGTGAGGTTCAGAGAAACACTAAATCAGAAACATACCAGCTATCATCGGTGGTCTCCAAACGTGGCAACATTAAGACTTGTGAGGACTTCAACTCCCAGAATTCCTCAGCCAGCCAGCCAGCCATGTGGTCTGGGGAATTCTGGGAGTTAGAAGTCCGCAAATTTTAAAGTTTCCTAGTTCGGAGACTTGTGTTATATTACGGTTGTGCCAAGTTTGGAGACCCCTGAGCTGTATCATGGTTATGAACCCAAGAAGGGGACCTAGGAGGAAGAGAAGGTGCATCTCCTATTAAACAGAGATGTAGCTGCTTGGCCAACTGAAGAGCTGTGACTAGATCAGAGTTTCTTCACTTGGGGCAACCTTCTGAAGAACATCAACCCTACGGCAGCTTCGAGGTCATGCATATCCCCATTCATGTCTATGGCACGCTACTCAATGCTGGGCAAACAGAACTAACAAGGGAAACCTGGAAGGGGGCCTTCAGACCATCATCTCTGGGATTACCATGCGACAACCTGAAGTGGCTGCCTGTCCCCATTCCCCAAAAACCAGCGGGATTAAGATCTCTTTTTCCTGCTTATTCCAGCTCTTTTTGCCCTACGTGATAAAAGTAAAAAAAAAAAAAAGTGAATTCCAAAGATGCAGTAAATTTTCTGGCTTCCCACCAAGGATGAAGGAGCACTTCAGCGCTAGGCTTTATACCTATAATCATCCTTTAAGGGCCTAATGCTACAGCAGCCCTGGTCCAATCAAGGGCGGGAAAGTCTATGGCTCTCGAGAAGAAGAAGAACAAGCTTGTTACGGGGAACGGGGAAGGATGCTCAAGAGAGCAAGGGGCAAATTTACAAAACAAGAGAAGGGAAACAGCTCTTCGCTTTGAGATCACAACAAACCCTCCCTAGGAAGCTGCGATTGTTGGCGCTCATCAAATCAAGATATCGCTACAAGGTCACATCATTATTTGAGCAAGAAAGAACAGGCCGCAGGGAGCACCTCGGATCACTGAGTCCAAAGATCGGCTTACGCAACATCCGCTCGCCCGGTTGAGCTCAACCAGTTAGTGGCTTTGCTCGTTTTTAAGGACTGCTAGGAATTAGATGGGTGCAAAATTGTAATTAACATCCTGGCAAACCCATCATGGAATACCGCGTTCGCCTCCTTGGTCTTCTTGTTTTTACGTGTTCTAGAACAGGGCTCTTCAAACTTGGCAACTTTTAAGACGTGTGGACTTCAACTCCCAGAATTCCCCAGTTGGCCATGAGGAATTCTGGGATTGGAAGTCCCCAAGTCTTAAATCCTGCTCTACGGAGTGGAGAGTTGGTCTCTGACAGAAAACCACTTGAAGAAACTAGAAGCGTTTGAAACGTGGATTTACAGACTTTTGTTACGTATAAGATGGGTTAACAAAATCACAAATGAGGCGGTGATAAGCCCCCTGGGAAAGCCAAGGGAAATCATCAAAGCCATTAAAAAGCATTGGACATGTGATACGACACCCAGAAAAATACGGCATCCTTCACGTAATCCTCCAGGGAAAGACTGAAGGCAAATGAGGTCCAGGCAGAAGAAGGACATTGTGGCTTCAAAATCTAAGGGACTGGTTTGGATAAAACTCAGCAGCACTTTTTAGTGCGGCTGTTGACAAACATAGGATTGCCAACATGATCACCAATGTCCAATGATGGATATGGCAGGAGGAGGAGAAGGAGAAGGAGGAGGAGGAGGAGGAGGGGGAGGAGGAGGAGAAGGAGAAGAGGAGGAGGACGAGGAAGACAAGGAAGAGGATGAGGTCATCTTCAAGTTGCCAAGTTTGGGGACCCCTGTTCTAGCACAATCGTTTCTCTGCTGTTTCCCTTTCGGTGAAGTAAGAGACATCCCATTTTGGATGAACTTGTCCACTATGTCACCAAATCCACCTTGAAAGCCATCATTCAAAGGTCAGCCCCACGGCAAAGCCTCCAAGACAATACTGCTGGCACATGGGACAAGAGAGGAATAAAAGTAACCTGGCTATCATATGAAAGCCAGGTTACTTTTAAAGCGATTATGATTAAACTGGTATGATTAAACATCATACGAATGTTTAATTGCAGAAATAAATAAAGAATGCGTTGGAAGGGATCAGATCTCTTTAGGTTTTTTTTGATGTGAGAGGTCTGTTTCAGGAGGGCTTAAAAAAAAACTTGTCCTTAAAAAAAAAATCTTCTTTTTTTCATCTTTCTGGGGTAGAAAGGCAGAGGTTGCTTTTTTGCATGCTTCCTACGCAGCAAGTTGTGCCGGTTGTTTTAACAGGAGGCGCAGGGCCTACTGTGAGTGTGCGGAACAGATTCACGTGCCTCTGATGGACTTGCAGCTTCATAGGTGCAATTAGGAGCATCTGCACAGTGTCCAAGCCATTACAGATACTATGTGCTCAATAATACTACCCAAACAAGGGATAACAGGTTGGGTTCGACCCAATGGAGCGCGTGCTCGGTATTGGTGAACCCCCAAGGCAGGTGTGAAACCCCTACATGGAAAAGGCAGGAATGGGCCAGGGCTGTGAAAAACCAGACCAGAGGTTCTTCTCTACCAAAGCATATTAACCTTCTACGCCAGAGTACCCCAATCTTTCCAGCTTTGCGGACCGGGGATTGGAGGGGGAGGGAGAGGGGGAGGGATGGTTCCGCGTGAGTGGTCAGCCAGAGTGCATGCACATCTCCATTTGCACAAGCAGTGGGTGCGCGCGCTCACGCTCGCACATTGCTTCCGGGCCCCGCAGGGGTGAAATCCATCAGGTTCTGAAGAACCGGTAGCGGAAATTTGGAGTAGTTCAGAGAACCGGCCAATTCCACCTCTGGCTGGCCCCAGAGTGGGGTAGGAATGGAGATTTTGCAGTATCCTTCCCCTGGAGTGGGGAGGGAATGGGGATTTTGCAGTATCCTTCCCCTGTCACGCCCACCAAGCCACACCATGCCCCAAAAGCCACGTTCACAGAACCGGTAGTAAAAAAAATGTGGATTTCACCACTGGTGCCCCGGTTGCAAACAGCTCGTGGCCCAATAGTGAGCTGGGACCCCGGGGTTAGGGAACCCCTGTTCTACACTACAAATGCATCAATTGCATTTGCTGGACTTCTAAACCTCCCTCCGCAGAACTCACCTGGGACACTCAAAATGACAGCTACTACAGTGCATAGCTGGCTTTGGAGATGTGAAGTATGAAGGAGTCAGTCAAACAGCCCAACATCCGACAGTGTGCTACAATTCATACAGTCCTGGTTACAGAAGCACCATTTATTGGCTACGTCAGAGTGCCGCTGATTTGGACCCAGAGGTCTTCTTCCAGCTAGCCATATGCCACCGCATCCCTCTCTAGAGATGGTCTTCCGAGGACCTGGATTTTTTTTTTTTCTCTTCTGAAGCTACCGAGGCAGTGTGTAAAAAAAAGAAAGAAAGAAAAAGTCAAGACGTCCCACCCTTACCCCACCCCAAATTCCTTTCTAAGTAACAGATGGTTTATAAATTAAATTAAGCACAAAATTTTTTTTTTGTTTTAAAAGTTAAATAGAAAGTACTTTGTGGGCGTGGTCCCCAGACATCCACACCTCCGTTTTTTTTAGATTTTGCATCTGCCCCCAGTCAAGAGTCTCCTGGGTCCTGCTGGCTGAGCGGAGCTTTGCAAATTTTAGGCTACTGGTTCGTTTTCCCAAAGAAGCGACTGAACCAAACAAGTGCCATGACAGCCACGGGGGAAGATATTGCTACATTTATGAGATTCGTTTTGCTCTGCTCGTTTCTCAGGGTCGCCTTTCGTCAAAATCGAACACGAAGTAGTGTTATACTTTTCTGCACGAGAGTTTGAATGGTCCTGTGGAAAGAATACTAATCTTAGATCATTCTCGACCCAAAGCCTCTTCTTTTCCTCCTGGCCTTTTAGGTGAGCGGAAATGAGATATATATATATATATATTTTCAAAGCAGCACTGATTCGTTCGTAGACAACCCATCCGCTTGGTGCCTGTAATGGCGGTCGGGGCCAGGGGAACTCGGATACTGGTAGGAGGGGGGCCCGAGTTCCCCTGAGGCTGTCCTGTATCTCAGAGGCCTGTCCACGGAAAGGGTGGGAAGGTTGTGGTCTTCAAGAGGCTTAGGCTGAAACCCTGGATGTCTCTTCAGGTTAGCGAAGTGACTTCGGCTACCGTCTCCACCCCACGATTGTCCGTAGGCTCCCGGCCTGTACGCGAAAGGGGGGTCCGACCATTTTTTATGATCTGGCAGATAATCGACTGGAGGGATTGCAGGACGGAGGCCTCTGGGGCTGCTTGGGAAGACCTCTTCTGGGAGAACTTCTATCCGACTCGAAGGCGTCACAACAAGATTCTGGTGGAGGGCAGAGTAATTTCTAGGCGGCTTCTCAGAGAGCATCTGATGAGTTTCCACCTCTGGTGGAAAATCAGGACTGTACAACTGAGTGGCGGAGCTGGTGCGAGTCCCGTGATTGTACTGCGTGGCTGTGAAGTTACCTACTTTGGTAATGTGCTTTGGAGAATACCCTTGGTAAACAGGTGGATTATTGTAAGATGGTGGTGGCTGTCTCATATGAGGTCCAACCACCGATCCGTCAGATTGGGATGAGTATCTGGGGGCCCTTGGTTGAGCGCTGAAGGCATAACTGTTGGATATTTTTGGTGGACTAGATCCTTTCTCGATCTCTTTTCTGGAACCGCTGGAGAAAGCTGTGTTCCTTGGACTTGGCAGAGCAACTCTCTCCGGGGCCTGCTCCACGAAATTTCCGTTCTCCAGATCAGCTTCGGGAACATTGTCGTACTGCGAGGCATTCGACCCACGCTTACTTTCATCCACATCCCAAACCCTAACTTTTTGCTTGGGGTTGAATAGCTGAGCTTCGTCCTCCAAAGCAGGGGCTGGTCCTGTCCAGGCCTGCTTTGGAGATCTAGTCTTAAACTCCATGGTGATTTTCGTCGTTTTTTCAATGATCTTCACATCGGAAGGTTTAATCCACCTGGGTACAAACTCTTTCCCTGTATTAGTTAATACTGCGTTGGAGTTCTGGTTCGCGGCTGCGTTGTGTTTCTGCTTGGGGTCAACCTCTGTTTGTGTTTCTGGCTTTCTTCTGGGGTTCTCCCCATCGTGCTTTGGCAACCCACTTTGTGTGTTTAGTGTTACTGGCTTTTGCTGATGTCTCAAAGTGTGCCTCTTTTCCAAGGAATTTTTTCGTCTTTGGCGATTTGGTGAGCTTTCTCGGCCTCTCTCTGCCCGCGGTGTGGGTGAGCCATCCCGGTCTCTCTTTGTTCGTGCTGTGGGTGAGCTTTCTTGGCCTCCTTCTCCATATCTCCTTGGTGAACCTTCTCGATGTCCTTCTCCAGTCCTCTGGCTTGCCCGGGCCTCCTTCGAGACAATGTTGTTTTTTTGTCCGTTGACAAGATGGGTGAGATTCAGCATGGCAGGTTGATTGTCAGCTGGAGTTTTCCCCAACTTCTTTGGAAATTCATCCTCTTTACCTAGAAGACAAATAAAATGAGTAATCAATATGTCTGCCAATTAAATTGCTGTTATTTATTAGCTTTATAAGGCCGGCCCAATCAAAGACTCAAGGCAGCTCATAATTAAAAAATCAATAAATAAGTAAATTCTCACCATGACCTCATAGATAGATTGGCCTGGGGTTTGTTTTTGTTTTTTTCACATAATGCATTATAGAGTGTGAAATAGATAAAAAGAAAAACAATGCTGGAAGGTTTAAAGATAAACTCAATCCTTAGAGGTTAGAAGTTACCGCCGATTTTACGCTCAAATGCAAACAACCTCTGTTTCTCCCTGGATGGTAACAACTGCAGGCAGTATGTCTGATTATCAAAAAAAAAAAAAAAAAAAAAAAACCTCATTCAAGTTAGCAAGGATTTTCTGGAAAATGCAAAATCCAACCTTGTATGATCCAAACTATGCCGACTGGATGTTTTCTATTAAGTGGACAAGCCTGGCTTTCCTGAAACCACAGCAGATCAAGGTCTTAATTTTAAAAGGCTGCTGAACCCCATTTCTGAAAATTTGGCGTGTTCAGCAATTCTTGGGAGATGGAAGGGAGAATTTTTGTCTGCTGTGAATTTTATAGATGTGCATCTTCTAACAGCCACAGGGTTGAAACGGAATGCTGGATGAACTGAATGTTATTATATTTACTGGGAAATCATGACCAGTTTCGAATCGCTGGCTCCCCAAGAGCAGACTGAGCAGTCAACTATTTTTTTTTCCTAAAAAACTTGGAAGAGAAGAAGGACTTAATCATTATGCTTTCTCAGCATTGGGTGTGACCAAGTCCTTCAGCTGCTAAAAAAAACAACCGCCATCTGCAGTCGTAGCCCTTCCTCTGATTTCTAGCAGAATAGCATCCCCCCCCTCTCAAAATCTTGGCTGCACACCCTACGAGACCCTTCTGAAGTTACCACCAAATTTTAATTTTCGATATAACGCAAGGGTAAATGATTAAAGGCACGATCGTTTTACATTATTAAAGCCATCCCATTAGAAGCATTTTGTTTTAAATAGATGGAAACAGAATGAAATCGGGGTTCATTTTTTTTTTTTAATATTGATCCTGCATTGGGAAGGATGGGCCCCGACATGCCTGTCCAAGACCTAGCAGGGCCGTTCGCTGGAAAAAGGTTACACATTTCTGCTCTGGAATGATTCAACAGGAATCTCCTGTCATCAGATGGAACAAAATAGAATATTCTTTATTGGCCAAGTGTGATTGCACAAACAAGGAATTTGTTTCCAGGGCAGAAGCAACAACAAACGAACATAAATAAACAACGAAGTAATATAATCATAAGATACCAATAGGAGAAGGGATTAGGAAAAATGAGAAGGATAATAATAATAATAGAGCCCTAGTACATGGGTAACTATCCTTAGACATAAGACAGTGCTGAGGGAATTAGGTATTTAGCAGAGTGATGGCACAAGGAAAAAACAGTCTAGTTGTTTTGGCACGCAATGTTCCCTATGGCGGCATCCTGAGAGGTGGAGTTAAAAACCATTTATGTCCAGGATGTGAGGGGTCTGTAGATATTTTCTCAGCCCTCTTTCTGGCTCGTGCAATATACAGGTCCTCCATGGAAGGCAGCCTGGTTGCAATTGTTTTTTCTGCAGTCCTAACTATGTGTAAATCAGTGGTGGGTTGCTCCCGGTTCGGTTCGGTCCGGTACTATAGAACCGGTAGTAAAACTGGTGGGAGGCTCCGCCCACCTACCACGACATCATTATGGGTGATCTGTGCATGCGCAGAAGTGTGTATGCGTGAAAATAAGACTAGAACTTACCTAGTAAAGGTAAGTAGAACCCACCCCTGGTGCAAATGTGTAGTCCTAACTAGATGTGGATGCTTTAAGGCCAGGGGTGTCCAACTATGGCAACTTTAAGGCCTGTGAACTTCAAGTCCAGAATTTCCCAGCCAGTTATGCTGGCTGGGGAATTCTGGGAGTTGAGGTCCACAAATATAGAACTGGACCGAACCCCTGCACTATGCTTAATCTTGCAGTAACCTTTGCAAAATGTGAAGCTGAATTCTCTGTAAGACGCTACTACCACGTGAAACAGCAGCCTAGCAACTTGCCTGCAAAAGCATTCCTACTGCCAATAATTTCGCTGAAGCTTCCATTTCAGGCTATTTTCATTCTCGGGGCCACCTGCGCATTATACAGAAAGTCAGGAGAAAATCGGATCTTCACTCGCGTTCCATCAGGCTGCAGATCAGTCACCTCAAACACCAATATATATTATGGAATTTTGCTCCCTTCCCTTGATTTTGCAGGTGGCAGATTTCCCTGGAAAATCCAGCAACAAAACCTGACGGGCTTCTCTCTTGCAGTGGCTTCGTAGCGAGAACAGTAGCTTATCTGGACTAACTTCGGAAAAGAGTGGCAGCGAGAAAGAGTTATCCCTTTTGCCCTGATCAATTAGGGATTAATAAACAACTGATAGGGAGAACATTTTTAGTGACTACATAAAGGAAGGGAACAAAACAAAAACAAAACAAAACTGATTGTCAGGTACTTAGCTGTGCAGATTTTATATGGTGGCACGGTGGTTAGAATGCAGTATTGCAGGCTAACCTAATCGGACCACTGACAGGAGTTCGATTCTGACCGGCTCAAGGTTGACTCAGACTTTCATCTTTCCGAGGTGGGTAAAATGAGGAGCCAGATTGTTGGGGGACAATAGGCTGACTCTGCAAACCGCTTAGAGGGCTCTAAAGCACTGTGGAGCGTTATATAAGTCTAAGGGCTATTGCTATATGGAGGCAAAAGATCTGTAGAATCGGCTAAGTGGTGTTTAAACAAACAAAACAAGGAGACCTAAAGGAGGAAGCAGGGGGATGGATGATTGGTTTATGGAAGCTGCAGTCACAAAGGTGGATGAAACTCATAGGAAATATGGCATTGTTAGTTCCAAGGTTATAAAGACCCCCCAGCTTGGAGGCATTTTGCCACCAAATGCAAGTTCCTAAGACCACAATGCATCTATCACCCTCAGACATCTAGTAACATGACAAGCTTCCCTGTATGCAATCAGTCCTTTGACCCAACGAGCTCAGTGTTTGATCACTGAAGATGTCAGAGGCCTTAAACTTAAGACCTTTTACAAGCCTGAAGCTACGGTCCTTTGCTAGATGGCCACCGCCAGTGCAAAATTCCAAATTAAAACATTTGTGACAGTCATCGACTGCGTAACAACCACATCCAATCAAAGATAGATTCTAATGTGTGTAACCAGGGTTAAGACACACCTCTGCTTGTCTATATCATCAGTGATGGTGGGGGAGAGAATGAATGAGAGAGGAAGAGAATGAGAGAGAGAGAGAGAGAGGGAGGGAGAGAGGGAGGGAGGGAGAAAGAGAGAAGAATGAGAGTGAATGAGAGAGAGAGAATGAGAGGGAGAGAAAGAATCAGATAGAAGAGAATGAGAGAAAAAGAGAGGGAGAATGAGAGAGAGGGAGAAACAGAGAGAGAATGAGAGAGAGAGAAAGAATGAGAGTGAATGAGAGGGAGGGAAAGAATCAGAGAGAGCATTAGAGAAAGAGAATGAGAGAGGAAAGGAACGAGAGTGATTGAGAGAGAGAGAGAATGAAAGTGAATGAGAGGGAGAGAATGAGAGTGATTGAGAGAAAGAGAGAGAATGAGTGATTGAGAGAGAGAGAATGAGAATGAGAGGAAGAGAAAGAGAATGAATGAGAGAGAGAGAGAGAAAGAATGAGAGTGAATGAGAGAGAGAGAATGAGAGGAAGAGAATGAGAGAGAGAGAGAGAGAGAGAAAGAATGAGAGTAAATGAGAGAGAATGAGAGGGAGAGAAAGAATCAGAGAGAGAGAAAGAGAATGAGAGGAAAAGAATGAGAGTGATTGAGAGATAGAGAGAGAGAAAATGAGAGTGAATGAGAGAAAGAATCAGAGAGAGAATTAGAGAAAGAGAATGAGAGAGGAAAAGAATGAGAGAGAGAGAGAGAGAGAGAGAGAGAGAGAGAGAGAGAGAGAGAGAGAGAGAAGAGAGAGAGAGAGAGAGAGAGAGAGAGAACCCCAGAAAATCAAGTGAGAACACTTTCACAATTTTTAGATCCCTCAGAAATTGTGTGAGAGCAAAGTCCTCTTGCACAACTTCCAGAGGATCCAAAGGTGTCAGCAATGGCAGGGGGTATCACCTTTGTGACATACACAACACAGGTTCACCAACACTGTTCTGTATGTTTATTGGGGAGCCCACAAGACTCCTTTAAAACATGCTCTGTGCCCCTCATAATGGCAACCTAAAAACGCCCATTACCCTTCACGCCTATTTCTATCCAGGTATCTACATTTTGGAGGTTCCAGTAACATCATCCAACACTTCATCCTATAATCGCTCCGATTCGTCTCCTTTTTGAAATGTTGAGTCAGTGCATACTTTCCCAAGAGAAAGCATCGAAATGTTCCTAGGTTGATTGATAAGGCAGCTTACCTATTCTTTTTTTTAAAAAAAATTAGCAGACGTTAAGATCTCTTAATTACCATCAAAGCTTTCATGCCATCCAAGGGAAAAAATACAACATTTTTACCGAATCCCTTCTTGCTTTTGAAGATTGTTTTCTGTCCCATCCCTCCCTCACATGCCAGGGCGAGGGAAAGTGCATTAGTTCTGGTGTGCCTGATTCAAAGCGGTTTGGATGTGGGAAGCTCCACACCTGCATTTTGAAAAGGCGGGCAAGATCGAAGCTAGGATAACCTTGAACTACACTTTGCCAGTTCTCTAATTAAGAAGCGGGTGTCACAATTGAAGTATTAACCATGTATTAACAGCCGAAATCACAAACTGATGCCTGGGAAGATCAAAGGCTGTGCACGCAGCAGGGCTGGTGGTTTTTCAATAGATGTACAAAATAATTGGACAGATATCGCGCAGCCCACAAAGGCAGGCTTAGAGAAGGGCTACACACACACACACACACACACACACACACACACACACACA